ATTTAATGAATAAGTATATTTAGATTTATAACCCCACAGCAGCTTTATTTATAGGGATGCCAATCACTTTTACACAGATATAAAATTGGTTGGCAGAATGCCTTAGACTATATCCAGAACCCCATCTGCAACAAATCTAAGCCGTGATATCTCTGCATACGTTTGGCCAAACAACCCTGCTAATGCCAGCCATCTTGACTTTAAAAGTACAGATGGGCCAGGGCAGGGGGCTCGCCAAGCCTGCTGCACAGCTAAAGATGGATCAATTTTGCTATCACCTACTATAAACCGGTTGGGGAAAGGACCAGATGAAGGAAAACCAGTCACCATCTGGGTTGTGTGGACGCTAATAGCAACACAATGCTGGCTGGAGAGCAAGCCAGCGTCCAGACAGGTGAATCTCTTTCTGAACTCTGCATCACTGAAACGGGGAGCTGTAAGCAAGGAAGAAAGACCCACTGGAGCTCTGAAAGGCAATGGGATTAACCTAAGGCTCTTTGCATAAAGTCTTTTTGATCCATCGCTCAAGACACAAAGCTGGAACAGAGGAAGATGCAGGAGAAATTAATTGAAAGTCATCGCTTGTCTCGGTCTCAAAGCAGACAAGGACTTCTGGTGGGACGACTTCTCTCCCATGGCTGCCCAGGATCTAAGTTATCTAAACCTGCGGATGTCAAGAGGAGAGGTTGCTGTTGATGTCCATGGGACTGGCATTGCAGCATCCCAAACTACCGTGTGTTGTTGGGGTAAGTCCGGGGGCTTTCTGTTGCTGCCCCCCTCCAGCTCAAGCTGAGACCCCCTGGTGAACTGAAAAGTTCTGTCCAATTCACAAGAAACAAAGAAAAAAAAACGTTATTCACCCCAGTGGGGCTTCTGAGGTCTGATGTCTCAGAAATGGGGCAAAACAGGGATGGCTCCACATCAAATACAGACTACGGGCAAACGCATCTCATCCATGAAAGTTGCAGTATTGTGGCAAATGCCAAGGCAGAAAAGGTTGCTCTGGAATATTACTTTGAATAGCTCTGGGAACAAACCCAGCATTAATTTTCAACACTTATTCAGCAAATGATTTGAATAAACTGCGGGAGGCTTGCGCACACATACTGACAGCATTATTTGGTAGATTTTTGCCTCTGCTCCTCAGATAATTTATGAGAAAACAACTCCCAGCAAACACGATCCCTTCCACTTCAATGCACAGATTTGTCTGACTGCCTTTGGGACAAGGTAAGTTCTCAAGATCCCTCTCAGCCCAATTTTAGTATCATCATACACTGCAGACTGTTTACATGCTGGCATTTGCTCTGATTCATCCCTGGAAATAAATATGTCTAAAAGAGTAATTGATGGAAAGAAGAAACAGAAACCCAACAGCAGTTCCCTCTCTCAAGGACAAAGCAAAGGAAAACAACCAGATGCAGAGCTATGACATCCTCAATCCAAATGTTTTCCAAAACATTTCCAAATGTTTTCCAAAGCTTCTAGCTGAAGCTTTCACAGCTAGGCTGCAACTCCACCAAAGCCTCGGGCTACGGTTGCAGCTCATGCCGTTATTTGAGCGCAGCATCATGGTGCATCGCAGGAGGAGATGGTTGGCAATGACTTTTCCAACACAACACCTGCCAAAACACACCCAAGACCCATGTGCACAAAACACAGCGTTTCGAAGAAAAACTGCCTCTGCTTTCTAAACAGGTCATCTTCGTATGTGAGAAAGCTTGAATGTGACATGGGCTTTCAGGAAGAGAGTCAGTGAATGCACGTGGCCAGATCTCTTCACCTTCACGGCAGGCTTTTGAGTTTGTTCAAAGAGACTTAGGAAATCACTCCTCCGTCTCTAATCCTTTGGAATTACGGAAAATAATAAAATGAAAAAATAATAAAACAAAAATTATTTTTAAAAGCCACTTACAGAGAGTAAAGAGTGAAAAACACGTATTTGCTACACTTAAGCAAGAAAAGCTGAAGTTCTGTCCAAGCATCAAACATGGACGTTTATGGCTATTACATAGCCAAAACAGACTGTTGTGGGAGAAGCTGGTCTGAGCAGCTGATCCCAACAGCAGCAGCCAGGGGGTGAGCAGCAAGGTTTAAGCAGTGCCTAGCTACATGGACCAACCGCTCCGGGGATGCCGGAGCATGGCTGGTCCTCGTCCCCAGCCTACTCACCCCACTGCTGACATGACAACTTGCACTCATGACCATAAAGCGGAGTCCCAAAGGTCCTTCAAAATCCAAAGCTGATCTCCACCTCTTTCAACTTGCTTCTGGACACAATCAAAACCCAAAGCAGGCTCCTTTCTGATGGAGCCATCTTATCAACTGTACGTTGGCTTTTAATTAGACCTTTTGTAGAGTTGGAAAAAAAAAAAAAGCCTTCCTTGAGGATGATAAAGTCTAGACACTACAACATATTTTCCAGCTGATCCAGCAAACCTAAAAAGCCCTCCCTTGATCTTGGACTGCCACGATCAAAGCCATTATTCCATTTGGAGCCCTTCTGAAACTTCAGCTTCCCAATGTGCAAGTTATTTTTAAAATCTAAACCAGGCCAAGCCTCTTGTTCAGAGTTTTACAAGGAAAACGGGGTGTGCTCCTCCCAAACCTTCCCCTGCCACATCTGGAAGTGGCTGGTGGGCACATGGTGGAGCATGAGACCATGCTGGGGGCACCTCAATGTCACCTGGTGGCTACGGCCTGCTTGCATGGGGGAACACTGCCCATCCCCAATGGTGGCTGCGGTGTGGAGGAATACTCTCCATCCTTGAATGGGATAAAGGTTTTTGAAGGGCAAACATCCTTAGGACCTGGGTCAGTTCTGAGAGGACCTTTGGTCAGTTCTGGCGGCCAAAGCTCGCAGCGACCAGGCTGGAAGAAGTCAAAGGACAGGCGATCCACAGTGACGAGGAGCTTGGGGACAACTGGAGGGCATTTTAAAAGCATGTGGCCACCAAGCTGCTCCTCCCGTGTCCCAGGGTGGACTTCTAACACATATGTTCTTCAAAGAGAGATGTGGACCTTCTTCATTGGCAGATGGGGGCATGAGGTGGCTCCCACCACAGAAAGGAGAAGAGAGCAACATGAAGCATTCACATGCTCCAAAGCTACTTAAAAGCCAAATTTAGCTTCCCAGTGAATGTTTCATTTAACTGAGCAGCTTCTAAAGCACGAGGCAAACAAGCCACATCATCTCCTTTTCCTCACAATATTTGCCTCCACAGCACTGACCACTTCCCCTACATGCTTTCATCCTCCTCAGTTCCCAGCAGCTCTGCTCCTCCTCCCCACCTCTCCCTCTTCCAAACCAAGATGATCCGTGAAAGGCTGATGGAAGCGGGCAGGCACGTGCCAGGAGGATGGGGATTAGAGACCTCCCGTCCCCTCTGGCATCCCTCACTGCAGCTGGAGGGGCCATGCCAGGCAGGAGCACTGGCCACGCTGCACATCACACATCCCCAGCACTTCAGAAGGTGATGACTGAACCTCCACCAGCTTTCCAGCTGGGTAAACATCAAGGGAAAAATCAGGTCGACAGCCTTCCTTAAGAATATTTCCATCAAATCAGACTTTTCCCACCCCATGCACACTGCAGCAGAGAGATCGAGGGCCACCAGCAACCCGGCGCTGGCTGTGACAGCTACCACATCATTCACAGAGGGGACAGAGGATTTGCCAGCATCTCCCCACAATGTTGCTGGGGAGCTGAGTGAGGTAGGCGAGATGCGGGAAACCTGCTCAGCTTCAGCTCTGCTGTGGCACCGAGTCCAACGTGTGCCCCAGTGCAGTGGTTCATCTTTACTCTCCCCAGAAAATGCAGAGAGATGGACTTCAACCTTAGACTCCATGCAAGCACATTTTGCTGGGTCTACTGAAGCCACCAGAGCCCCGCAGATCCCGACGGCCCCACCTTGCACTCACCCTGGCCCCTTCCCTCCAAGGAGCTTCTCCTGGGGAAGATGGAGAGCAAAGCCTCGCCTGTGAACCCATGAACCCCACAAAGGATAACACAAAGTTATTGACCTCAAAAATTTACGGTCCCCATCACACAGGAGAGCAGACAAGCTGATGGCAATGGCTGCTTCTGAATTTAAAAGGATCTGAACCCAGCACGGAAGCAGCATGCACCCCAAATCCTCGTCCCGAGCTTGCACACCTGACATGATAAACGAGGTAGTGAGGGCAGCCAACAAGCCAGCATCTCGGCACGCAACCCCTACCAACCCAGCTCGGGAAGAAAGGGAAAGCAAGGGGAAGGCAGCAAGTCATCCAGCCTCACACTGCCACCAGCATGGCAATCATCCTCAGCCGCTCTCGGAGACAAACGCTGAAGGGAAAATACCATGCAATTCATTTAGGTGCTGAGCACGAACCAGGGGTGGGTTCAGCTCCGTATCTGTCTTGTTGGAAGGCTTTCCAGCCATCCCATCCTCTTCTGCAGTGGTTTGCTCTGTCTTTCTCATCTCACGAGTTAAAGAGATGGGAAATGTGAGCATCACCAGCCACCCTTCCCAAAGCAAACGCGCAAATACAGGCTGAAAAACACACAATTTCCAATCCTGGCAAACGTACAGCAGTAACTTATTTCCAGGCAGAGCTGTGATTTTTATAAGGTATACTTCTGGGTTAAGGAGTCAAAGGTGTAACTGTACAAGCGAAAGCAAAAGCCCTTTATTTCTGCAAAGTCTTTTTTTATTTTTTTCCTCCTCCTGAAATGACAGGGAGTAACAGCTCTTGCCAGTTTAGTGGGATATACATGAAGGCTTGGCTGAAAGCAACCTCATTAAACTGGCTGGGTCGTTAAGCGCCAATCCAAACACACAGTCCTCTGATCACTGCATGACAGGCTGGGAACCAAAGGCAGCTCACAATTAAACCCGTGACAATCAGGAAAAAATCCTTACAACACCACCCCCCCCACCCACCCACCTGAAGCAGAATCCACCAACACCATCCCCACCCTCTTCTTTTTTTTTTCTTTTCAGATTTTATTTACTTACATAAGCAGCATGACAGATAACTTGATAACTTGGAGGAAATCAGATGCTTAACGATTAAGCGACACTTAGACGGCCCTCTGGAAGATAAATACGCCCTTTGGAAACCCTGCAACAAAACCAGAAGGTATAAACAGACAGTTACTAATTATTCTGATTAAATCTTGGAAGACCTGAAATACCCGACTGCAGCAGAACAAAGCCGGTGTGCGCCAGGGCTGCTCCCAAAAATAAGTCACACCCTTTTTTAAAAGAATTCACCCAAATAAACCTAAGTGCTTCTGTGTTGTTTTTGTTTGCGTGCGTGTTTAAGGTCTAGGCTGATAGGAAACCTCCGCCGTACCCCACCCCGGAGGGATCCCGTCGCCTCCAGCTAAAATTAGACTTCAAGGAAAGCAGGCGAAGGCGGGTGTCTCCGACCTGTGCCGGCACGGGCCAGGCTCCCACCGGAGCGGCGCACGGGGGTTTTTCCTCCCGTCCCATCGAAACCAAACCGAGAGGGTTTTTTTTGATCAAAAGAAATAAATAAGGCGTGCTCATAGGGATAGCAGGTCTACCCCGCTGCCACGCTCACAGGTTCAAGCTGGATTCAGGATGCAGCGAGATGAGGATGCAGCTGAGTCACGGAGATGGGATGGGAATCAATGGGATACTCAGCCTAGCGGTGAGAGGAACCAGCAAAACCCACCAGCAGCTCACCCACCACAGAGTAAGGCACCTGATTGACCGTGGTCTGTGACACCAGTGCCAGGAGCTTCTGTTGCAGTAGACGGCGTGCAAAGCAAGATAAGGGAAAGCGCTCGGCCGACATTCCACTACTCTCCTTGCCTTGGAGGAAACGAGGGTTTCTCTCCCCCCTACTCTCTGCCCTCCCCCTACCACATTAAATGCCAGCGGAGCCTAAGGGAATATTTAATCTCAAGCTTCGGTAATCAATCTGTTCACCCTCACGCATGAGAAAGAGTCACAGCAGCAAGCACCAAATCCCATTTGTACCCAGCAATACGACATTTTAATTATGTACGTAACATTTCCCTTTTAACATAAATCCTGAACAGATCCAGGCAGCCCCCAGGTTGTGGGTGGGGAAGGACATAGTGCTCAGGACGAACATGGGGACCCAGGGGAAGAAGGGGAGGGGAAACCACTCTGGTAATTATTTAAAATGACAACTTTATACGGCTGCTCTAGTTTGCTGTCGGCACAATGATGCTTTGACCTTGTGTTCTCCATCCCAGAGGACGAGCAGCAGCGTGGCAAGCAGCAAGCCCACATCCAGCCCTGACACCAGAAGCTGCCTTGGTTTTATCCCAACACACCAGCAAGCACGCAGGAAAAAGGGACAGAAAACACAAGATGTGCACATATGGAAAGGCTTGGGCCAGGCTATGATACAAATAACAGCAACAGGGCCTCTCCACTGGTGCTGTGAGACGTACTCCGATGCCTGTTCACATCAGAGGGAACATTTTTAGCTTGCTTTTTTTCCCCAAGAGCAAGTATGGCTGGACCAGCAAAACCATCACATGGTTGCCAGTGCAACAGGTAGGTAGCTGCGAGCAGCATCCCTCCTCCACCCAGCCAGACCACATCCCGAGTGGCACAGCTCTCAGCTATTTTAAAATCTATACTTTTTTTTTTTTTTAAATGCAAACACATGCACAGACTTTTCTAATATATGGGAACAAAAGAAGGGACACCCTGCTGAAACCCTGTGTGCAGCTCAGCTGCTCTCTGCAGCAACGAAGGAAATGAGAAGCAGAGACCAGGCACACGACCTCTCAACGTGGCACAGTTCGGCTCTGGGAATGTTACTGCATTTCCCAGCATGAGCTCTGATCTCCAAGAGATGCAAAACGGTCTCGAAGCCACTCTGGGGGAGAAATGGAGGGGTCCTCGAGGGCTCAGCCAGGCAGGTGCAGTGGGATGGAGAGCTGGACTGTGGGTGCTTACGGGGATGGCCCACCCCAGTCCATGCCCCGTCGACTCAGAGGTCCCCAAAACACCCATTGTGCCACAAGTAAGGAACTACCCCAAATACACGGCACAGAGCAGAAAGCAAAGTGCCCTCCTGGGTCTTGGCAACAGAATGAACCCATCCGCGACCACGGCTCCAGCCTCACCATACCGCGGTGCTTGGACAAACCAAGCGAAACAAGCTCAGAATTGGGGGTCTTGGGGTTATCTTTGAGTTCTCTAGATGTAGCAGAGTTGCATTTCTGAAGCCTCTTTTTTCAGGCAGATCCCATGGCAAACTTTGAACACACGCACGTCACTTTCAAAAGGCTCACAAAGGCAGTTTTTAGAAGGGGGGGTGGTGCACTGCAACAGGAAATTTTTTAAGTTCCTCTTGACAGGAAACATCACATGGAGATGCAAAAGGCAAACCTACCTGTAACCAAGATTTCCATACTGTGGTCTCCTTCCAAACTCTCCCTCCCTTACTTTACTTTGGCTTCAGTCTCCCCCAAGGCCTGTAACATCGAGAATTGCTTGGCACAACGGCACAAAGTCCTCAAGCTCCACACACATACCCGGAAAAACTTACACCTACACCCTCCCTGATCTCTTTATCCCACACTGGCAAGTGGAATATTAAGAGGGACCATGCACTATCAGCCCCCCGCAGCATGTTCCCGGAGGATCCAGACGTATCTCCATCCTCTCCCAAAGAGCAGGGCTTCACAGTGTGATTCAGGACAGAGACACGCAGTGCTGTATCTAGAGCAAACTACACCTCCCAGGCACAGCAGCAAGCACAGATGTATTGATTCATGGAAAACGTCCTTATAAATTACTTCATTCAGATCAACAGGACAAGACCAAGCGAGGGCTACCCCCGCAGCGAGAGGCTGCAGCGTACCCTTCAGTCTCACGCTCCAGAAGAAACCACTCCTTCAGAGCAGACAATCCTATAACAGGGCTTTATGGGGCTGGCGGAGGACAACACAGAGGCCAGCACACATCTGTGCCACCTCTCACCCAGTCCCTACCTCTCTGCCTCACAGCAGGCAGAGCCATGGATGACTTTTGCAAGCAAGTAGGTAAAAATGCTGCTTGGTATCAATTTCTCATTGCAGAAGCTCCATCCACGCCTGTATGTTGGCTTGCATAGGGCTGCAGCCACCGGGCAGGGTGGGACACAGCGGCTGCCGCCACCAACACCATCCCATGCACTGCCCCAGCCACCCCTCCAGGCCCTGCTCAACGTGAGGTAGCACAACCTGCCTGATGAGATGGGGCACGGATCCAGGCTGTCCTCCTCCAGCCCTGTGAAGCCACGTTAGAAGTGTCTGCTCTGAAAGAGTGATTTCTCCTGAAGCATCGGACTCCCAAGCATTGCAGCTCATTAATCTTATCCCCTTCTCTTGATACTGATGGCTTAACATGCTTTCATCAAGCTCAAACTCCCTTCCAGGGCCACTTGCGGTCTGGGCCCAGGACGATGAGACAAAGCTAACGCCATTTTCTGCAAGTGTTCATTCTAGTGCTTAAATGCAGCTCAAAATTTAAAAAAAAAACCCAGGTGTACCTGTGCCTTGTTCTGGATAGCATGCATCTGGCTTTGGCTTCCAGACATGGGCTGTTTGATGGAATGAAGAGCCACGGGATGCTCACCACCAATGACAAAGCAATATACACTTGCATTTTGTAGCTTCTTGATGAAAGTGCCAGAGGAGTACTGACATTCCCCAGCATGAAGCATTTCGCAGAATCACATAGAATCACTAAGGTTGGAAAAGACCTATAAGATTATCCAGTCCAACCATCAACCCAACACTACCATACCCACTAGACCATGTCCTCAAGTGCCACATCTACATGCACTTGCAGCACTTCCCTGCACCCTCACGGATCAAACCAGCCCCATCCACACTGAGGGCACTGCCATGCACAGCCTTGCTCCCCAGCTGCCTTTTGCAGGAGCATCTGATCACAGCTCAAATCGCTTTCTGCAGCTCCAGGTCCCCTCCAAGAATCATTTCCCAGCATCTTCAGACCATCTCCCAGTTTTTAAAATTGTCATGAATTTGAGACCTACTTTAAGATAAACAAACCATCAGCAAAGACACTGAGTCACGTTGTTGGATGCCTCCAGGATGGTACCTGCAGAGGTCTTCTAGGAACGCCTCCACCTCATGTGAACTCCCCCGCTGGTAACATTAAAACTACAATTATCTCTGCAGATTAATAAAGGGTACCGCATTTCTGGCAGCAATCCGAGGCAGGGACTCCCAGCAGTGATGAGTTCAAGTTACCAGGGTGTGCAGCCACACACAGCTGTGTTTGCAGTCCCCATCGCTCGGAGTCCCTCCCCCCACCACGCTGCCTCACCCGTTCCCCAAAACACACCCCATCCCCCCAGCACCGATTAGTATTTTGATAAACAAACGTGTCTCGTCACATCTATTCACTCAGCTCGTCGAGGGGTTGCCATTCCCACGTGCACCGGCTTTGCAGAATAAAACACTAATGGGTTTCGCATGCGTGGTGCGACACAGTCCCTGGCTCTGCAGCATCCTTGGGCTTGTGGACCAGGAATCACTGCCCTGCGGACCACCTGCCTACACCCTGCTATTCGGGGGTGATGGGGAGAAAACAGCTCCTTTACATGGTAAGTAAAAAAAAAGAAATGGAGTTGCGTCACTGCAGCATTTGCAAACATCCCCCTGTAGCAGACGAGTTATGCATGGCGCCAGGGGGGCACGGGCGATCGAAATGCAGGGTGCCAGCCAGCACTCATAGCCTTTGGGAGCACAATAAACAACACCACAGAGCCCGTAGCGGGCAAGGCTGCAAGCCCTGTCAGCCCTTCCCAGCCCAGTGAGAGGGAGGGCGTTCTGGCACGTGTGCTTTGTACGGGCCCTTACACTGTTGGGTCCAAGCACTTCCTGGCTGTGCCGTCTCAGAATCACCCTCATCACGAACATCTCTGCCAGACACAGCAGCGTTCAGGGACTATCACTTTCCACCACAGTCCTAAAACGAGCTCCGTGCTCTTGCCATGCTGCGGCTGGTACCCAGACGAGGCGGGAAAAAAAAGCATCCCCAAGCACCGTGTGCTGCTGCCCGTGCACACCCAAAGCCATCCAGAAAAGGCACAAATAC